GTGGTGCGGATGCTTCCGTCTCCGCCAATGGGGCGTCATAGCGGACAAGCGTCCGCTGTGCGCAGCCAGAGAGGGGGGAGCTGTTCACCCTGGAGGGAGGATGGAGACAGCTAGGAGGAGGAGGAGGAGTTGCCGAGGAGGAGGAGGAGGAGGAGGAGGAGGAGGAGGAGGAGGAGGAGGAGGAGGAGGAGGAGGGGAGCTGTTCACCCTCGCTCCCAGCAGGCGGGGGGTCGGCGGCGCGGGCCGACGTTGGATCTCTTTCAGCCTGCTGCCGCGCTGGGGTGTGCCGTCGGAGAGCCGGCCGGGAGACTAGAACCATGCTCCGGAGCTCGGCGGCGCGCTGCGGGGGGACAGAACGACGCGAAGATCGGGACAAAATCGGATCGGGATAACTCGAAATCTCTGAGAATCGGCGGGTTTGGAGGATGTGTTGGGCGCCGCGGCCGCTCCAGAGCGTTCCGGAACGCTCTGAGAGCGCTCGGGAACGCTCTGGAGCGATTTATCCCGATCCCAGCATTGTTTTAGGGGAAGAAGTCTCAGACATGCGAAGTCCTGATTTGTTCCATGCGGCGTCCCCGGAAGTCCAGACCCTTTCCACAGGGCTGTTTTTTTCGTCCTGAGTCGTTTTTTGACGGTCTCGGGGCCCAGCGAGGGCCCCCAGGGGCCGAAATGCTTGAAAATTAAACGTTTTGATTTTTGTTACGACGCGACCATGTCTGGGGTGAGAGGGGGCAGGCCTTTCAGAGGCCCTCGTGCTTTCTGAGAGGCCCTCTTGTGTTAAGTCGGGCGTGTCCCTCCACAGGAGGATAATTCAACAATAGAAGAAATAGTAAGGGACGATGTTTTGACTACTTTTGCAAATTTTTGATATACTTTTCACCATTTCTCATTGTTCGTCCAAGATCCGCCTGCAGGCTTGGAGTGCGCGTCGGGAGGCCTTCTCCATCTGCCTTCTCGCCCCCTGGGGCGCACCGCCGAGGATGCCTGGACACACGTACAGTTAAGTCGGGCACGTCCCTCCATAGGAGGAATATGCGAGAATCCTCCTCCTCCTCCTCCTCCTCCTCCTCCTCCTCCTCCGAATAGTCAAACAAAAGCAATCGGGGGATGATTTGTTTCTATTACTATTTGACCCTGCTTGATCATTCGTGACGGTTGCTGCATAGTTCGGCCACAATCCGCCTTTGGGAGGACATGCCCGACCTAAGCGTACAGTCGCGCTGCTAAAACGAAGGCCGCTTGGGTTCGGACCGCTCTTCCGATGCAGGTCGGGGGACCAGTTCGTGGCCGAGGCTCGCCCGGCCGCCAAAGCCCCATACGGATAAACCTTTTGGCGCTCCGCGTAGTTTTCTTGGATCCGCGCTGGGCCCCTCCAGCGGCGCCTCCGGCGCCGCCCCTGGCGCGCTCCGCGCGCCGGGGAGGGGGGCCCAGGCCAGATCCATGAGACCCGCGCGGAGCGCAACAGGTTTCTGTGTATGCAGCTGTTTTGTTATCCTAGCATGGGGCTCGGGATGGGCTCCAGTCTTCGCACCGCTCCTCAGAGGCAGGTCGGGGGACCAGTTCGCGGCCGAGGCTCGCCGCGGCAACAAGAGCCCCGTCCGTCCTTCTGCAGCGGCGCATGTGGTGCAGTGCGTGGCAGGGTGGCTGCAGGTCCTCGTAGCTCCTCGGAGGTTCTCGGAGGTTTTCCAGCCTCGGGATGCTTTCCGGCAGCTGCGCCTCTCCGAGAGTGTACCAGAGACCTGGTTGGTGACCCCAATACCAGGCGATCCCCCACTTGCCAGGGGAGGGGATTTAGCCCCAGGTCTTTGACTTGAAGCTTTTGTGCCCTTTTGGAGCCTCCTGGCGCGCTTTCATCGCCACGGCTGAATTCCCTCCGAAATCCCGTTCCGAACGCACACCTTGAAAGGTCCGAGACCCCCTTGCGTCGCGGAAGAAATCATGACGGAACGTTGTTGGCCGTTTGCAGTCTTTTGGTGGCGCTCATTGGGTCTCGGGACCGTCCAAAAGACGACTCAGGAGGATGAGCTGATTCATTTTGGCGAAGGGGTCCACGTTGTAAAACAGAGAAGAAAAGTCAGGAAGGGAAAGCACACACACACAGACAGGATTAATCGTCGATTCCCCAGAGAATAGGGGAAGATATGGGAAGTGGGGGGACGACGAAAATCCAAAACATATGGCAAAGCCTTGGGAATCCTGGGATTTGTGAATATTTATGTTTGTGTCCCTGGGCCCCTTAAAAAAGGGCCGAACAGCCGACAGGCATGCTCGGTTTGGCCCGACCAGGAGGACAAAGCACACGGTCTGGTATTCTTCAAGGTGGAAAGCACGGCAGGGCCGCGCCGGATTCATGTCGGGCATGTCTTCCTACAGGCAGAGCTTTGCAAGACAATGAAACATGTACAAAAAAAGTTCAAACATGTCCAACAATGACAGAACAGCGATTCAAACCATATTCAGACTTATCCAAAAATGATAGAGCATTCCTGTTTTGACTATTTGTATGACTGTTTTGAACTATGTTTGACTGTGTAACATATTCAGACAATGGTCCCCTGACTATTGTTGGACTGTGTTTTGGACATTCCTCCTGTCGAGGGGCGAGATCCCGACTTTACACGCTGGATCGAGGGGGCCCGGCGCCGACCCAAGCAAACATCTATGAGGAGGGGAAACACACACACAGACACAATGAATCGTCGATCCCCAGGAAAATCTGGGAACATATGGGAAGTGGGGGGGGAAGACAAAAACCCAGGAAATATGGGAAAATATGGGGAATCCTTTTATTTGTGTGTATTTATTTGTGTGTCCAAGGGCCCCTTCACAAATGTCGATTCTCCCTTCAGTTCTGATCTGGATCCGTGCCCACAGCAGCGATCGCCGAGCTGTACGAAGAGCCTGCGACGGCAGGGATCGTTGTCTTGTTCCATGTTTTGCCGATCCGCGTGGGCCCTCGCCCCCCCCCCCCCCTGTCCCCCCCCATGGAGTAGGGTAGGTCTTGGCTGTTCTTGGCGCCTGTTTCAAGCAGGTGGAGTTTCCCCCAAGGGACGCACTGTTGCAAACAGCCGCATTTGGTAGAGGTCCAGAGCCAGACACCCCCCTCCCCCCCTCCTTCCGCCCAATGTCGAAACGCCGAATAAGAAGACGCTCACGTAGCGCCCCGCGGAAGCTGCGGGCGGAGGGCGAAGGTGAGTTGGACCTCTGTTTGCACCTCATTTCCGTAGCTGCGGATAAGACAGCGGGTGCACCCCGGCTTCCCTGCTGATGCGACGCAGCCAACGAAGTTCGGAGGGCCGCATGTCACCGAGCGCGTTCCACTACTCGCAAAATGCCAACTTGCAAACGTCGGAACAAAAAAACATATCTCCATCGATGTAGTGTGTCGTGAATCTCCCATGGCGGCTCCAGGCCATTTGCGAGTAGTCACTTTGCGAGCAGTGGCGCGCGCGTGTCTGGCATGGGGGAGGCCACGCGGTGGTGGTCCGCAGTGCCTCTGGAGAGCAGCCCGCCGCAGGCGGCGGTCGCTTGCCCTGTGGGCCGCGCGTGTGGTCGGTCGCAGGGTCGCGCCTGGGCGAAGCGAGCCCGACGGCGTGAGCGCAGCGCCGGTCGGAGCTTCGAGGAGCGGGCGCCGAGGCGCCGGCGGGGCGCCGGCGGGCGGCGGCCCGCCTGCCTCGCGGGCCTGGGCGCGCGGCAGGTCGGGGGCGCCATGGCGCCTGCAACGGGGGGCTCCGTAGATCGGCGGATTTGTGCCGGAGCGTTCCGCCTGGAGGGTCCCGACGTGGCGGACGAGAGCGAGAGGGGGCGGGCGGGCGTGGGGTGGGTCGCAGCAACGCAGCGCAGCGCAGCGCAGCGAGGATCCGCACCGCGGAGCCCCTCTTCACCCACGCACCCAGGAACAGTCGATGACCGTTCGCCCCCCCCTCTCCCCCCACTCTCTGATGCATTCCTGCTCTGCTGCCTGGCCAGCCGACAGCACCCGGGCCCTGGGTGCCCCATCCTGCTCTTTCGCAAACAGTGCGAAGGCGACGTGCCTGCCGTCAGCGTGGGCATTCGGCGGGAGCGGGACGTGGCGCACATCCCGCGCGAAAGGGCGAGATGTCTCTCTCACCTCGGCGCCGCGCTCTTGACCTGCCGGTGCGCGGGGCACCTTGTGTCGCATGCCAGTGCGTCGGCGCGCGAGCGGGTGCAGATGTTGCTCTCGCCTCCTCGGCGCCGCGCAGGCTTCGCCTGAAGGTGGCGCTCCCGTCCCATCACGGCGCATGGTTTGCATTCGCCAATGTTTGGCGACCCGCGCGAGCGGCTGAGTTGTCGCCCTCGCCCCAGGTCCGTGCGCATCTTGCTCGGAGGTGGCGTTCCCGCGCGGGCACGCGGCGAATTGCTGCGTTCGCCGATCCGCATGAAAGCGGCAGCGGGAACGGGGGCGTCGCGCGAGAGCGGGAGTCATGCTGACATTGGCCATGCGCCGCGCAAGTTGTGAGTGAAAGTGGCAGTGGTGTGGCGGCGCGGCGCATGTTTATCGGGGTTGGACAGACCTCCTACCCTGACACGTCGATTAAGGAATTGGCCGTTTTCGGTTCGCGAGGGGGCGTCGCGGCCGTCGTTTTTTGCGGGTCCAGAGGTCCGTCGGTTTCGGTCCCAGGCGCTTCTCACTAAGGGGAGGTTTACTAGAGGGAGGTTTGTCCACCGCCGAGTTTAGTTCCGCCGCGTCCACGGGCAGCTCTGCCATTCCCGCCTTTTTGCGCGGCCCGTGTGTTTCTCTTCGCCAAGGCGTCGGAGGCGGGACCGCGCGCAGGCGCCTCCAGTTCGCTGGGAGGGGCGTGTTCCGCAGTCTCGATTTCAGGTTGCGCCGCACTTGGTTCTAATATGATGGATGGATGTTGGGAACGGTCGGAGCCAACTGCTTCGTTTGACCCCGTTCACTCGACTCTTTCCTGTCCTCGGCCCTGCTCCTCCGCCCGTCCTCCCCCCTCGCCCGTCATCACGGAGCTGCCCGCGAGGTCCTCCGCGGGGCCGGCTACGACATGAGGTCGGACGTGTGGTCGTTGGGGTGCGTGCTTTACGAGCTCGTGGTGCTCAGGTCGCCGTTCAAGAGCGAACAACAGGCCCCCTGCCCCTTCCGCACTGGGACCGGAAACGTGTGGGGGGGGGGGGGGCAAAAAGACTGCAGGGAAGGGAGGTGGCCGCAGAGAGGGCCCAGTCGGCCCCTCGATATGCTACCGCGGGCCCGACAGGGGGACGAACGGTGCACGCGTCTCCACTCCATGCTTTTTGCCCCCCCCCCCCCCCCCACCCCCCACTCCGTGAACGAACACCCGAGGAGCAAGAGGAAGCAAGGGAGCTGGACCGGCAGGCCCCAGGGGGGGCCCGCCGGGGTGGCCCACGTCGCCACGGCCGGGTCGGAAACGCACCCCGGGAAAGCCCATGGGGACCACGGGCGACGACGATGGTCAGGAGCCAAAGAAGGACGTAGACGTGCATGAATCCACGCTGGTTTCGAGAGCACGCGTTGCCCGCACGTTCGTGTTGCGCGGCCAGTCTGGCGGCTCGAGGGGCGCGTTCATGTACATAGCTGGGCACGTACGTCCTTTGTTCAGCGAGCGAAGAACGGTATAAAATAAACTTTTTCGCCGTCGGGGACACCTGCCCCTGGGCGGCTGGAAAGTTGATACCCCCATCAGGGTATAAACTTTCCAGCCGCCCAGGGACAGGCGCCCCCGACAGCGAACAAAAATTATTCTATACCGCTCTTCGCCCGTTATTTTGTGGGTTCCCTAGATGGGAAGCAGGCTCAGGTCCCCGTGTCCGATCGCGAACCCCGCGGTTCGGATTCCGACCCCCGTTCGCCGCGCGTCGTCTGAGGGCCCCGGCCCCCCCCGACGAGCTGCCGTCGCAGAGCCGCTCCCTCCGGATCGGCACCGCGTGCTGGCCTTCTTACCAGCCTCGAACGTACCCCTATCCCAAAGATTGACACACCAAAAGGCGATGACAATCTTAGGGGTTCGCCCTCAAAAAATAAGGGAATCCCTAAGATTGGCATCGTAATGAGGAGGTGCCCAGCATAGGGATCGGGAAATGTTCCAGGCTGGTAAGCCTTGCCTCGCCACCCCAGGAGAGGCTCTGGGGAGCGGCGGCATCCGTACATTCTGGTAGCCCCAGAAGGCGGGGCTCGGGAAGTGCCAAGAGGGGGGTTCACCACGAGGATCCAGGCGGGAGGATCGAGGGTCGTGAGGAGCCTGGCCTTTTTTCGGGGCGTCTCCGGGAGTTCTGGGAGGGGGGGGGGTTCTGCAGTGTCCCAGGGGGTCCGCTTCCTCGAAGAGGGGGTGGCCCCCCCCGGGGGGGGCCACTGCGGCGCAGGGGGGCCATGGTCGAGCGGCGCGCCCTCGGGGGGGGGGAAGTGCGCAGCGGCGGGCCTCTTCTCGGAAGGTTCGGAAGCCCCCCGGGTCCTCCGGGAAGTGGCCGAGCTCGGGAGCCCTGAGAGACGGGGGTCACTGCGAACGGGGGTCCGCCAGGGCACCAGATCCTGCCAGATCCTGCGAACACCCCCTCCTGGCGGACCCGGGGGTCTGCGAAGACCTGCGCTGCAGTGTTTTTGTTGTCCTGCATTGCAGTTTTTGGGCCCCTGCTGACCTGGGTCTGGATTGACCCGGGTCAGCAGGAACCCAAAGATCTCTTCCTCCTCCTCCTCCTCCTCCTCCTCCTCCTCCTCCTCCTCCTCCTCCTCGAGGGAACCCATGGATCCCCGACGAGCCCTCCCCGAAGATGCAGGCAGTTCCTCCGGAGGCGCGAGGGCCTCCGAGAGGCCCCGCTGCCTTCGGAGAGGGCCTGCGCTCCTTCTCGCGTCCCCCCCCCCGTTCGCTCGCCGCCGAAGTGGACGCCGGACGGGGCCGGGACGGGGGGGGCAAAACACCCCAACATACTTATACTATATGTGCGTCGCCCCCCCAGGGGCCACGCGCGCACCGAGAAATCTTATAGTATATGCGTCGTGGCGGGCGCTTTCTGGCCACACCGCTCGGGAAACGATATACTACAAGATGGGTATACTATATGTTCGGGTCGGACGCGCGCCTCCAAGGAGGACATATAGTATTAGTATGTCCATGTGCGTCCCAGGCAATGGTCTGGGTAGTCGGAGGCCAGACTGTCAGACTGGATTGGGCCCCAAGGGCCAATCTGGCCTGGCCATATTGGGGGATCTGGGTTATTCGCCAGGCTCGACTCGCGTCGGCTCCCTCGCCAGATTGCCCCCGTTTGCCAGATTGGGCCTGCCAGATTGGCGGCAGATTGGCTTCGACTACCCAGATGGGGGACACTGATCGACGCGTCCCGCTCTGCCGTCGCCCTGGCTTCGTCTTGGACAATGGGCAGCAATGGTCCAGGAGGGAAAAAAAAAAACACACACACGCACACACACACAGACACAATTAATCGTCGATCCCCAGGGTGATATGGGAACATATGGGAAGTGCGGGGGGGGGAAGACAAAAACCTAGAAAATATGGGAAAGTATGGGGGATCCTGTTATCTGTGTGTATATATTTGTGTGTCCCAGGGCCCCGCCAATGGTCCTGGGTGTCGTGAGCCTTTTCTGCGCTCGCTCTCGTCGCCGCGGCGTGAGGGTCGCTGCCGGGCTTCTGGCCAGGCTGCGCCCCGGGAGAGGTCTGGGGATCGAGCCTTGTGAGCCCCAGGTTCGGCCGCCCGAGGTGGGTGCGGCAAGCAGGGGCACGATGCCCAACAGCAGATTCAGGAGGGAAAGAAACACGCAGACACAGTGAATCGTCGGTTCCCCAGAAAATATGGGGATATGGGAAGTGGGGGGGGGGGGGAGACGAAGATCTACAAAGTATTAGAACATATGGGGAATCCTGTTGCTTGTGTGTATTTATTTTTGTGTCCCAGGGCCCCCTCTCACAAATGTTACCCTGGGTTTCTGAATGAGCGTGGGCCTGTACCCCCCATCCCCAGACGGGGGTCAACCTCGCCTCGCCGTCGCGCCGCGACGGGGGTCGGAGCGCCTTCGGCGCGCGGTGGCTACCCGCGACGAGGGTCGATGTGGGACTGTCGGCGGGGGTGACGCCCCACCGACGCTTATTAAGAAACTTGGACTATCCCAAGCCGACAGCGGCCGCTGTTGGGCAGACGGCCTTCTGCCTGAAATGGACAGCACCCGCGGCGACGCGGACAGCGAATCCGTTTCAAAATGAGCAGGGCTTGCTGTCGGTCTTTGTACCATTTCTTTCAGTACCCGTTTCGATCGTCCCGACAAGATGCAACTGTACGGGTTTTGCTACGGCCCCTGGCCCAAGGTACCCTCAGCTCTTCGCTCCAGCTTGGAGCCCCTGGGGCCCCAGGGGCCTCGTGATCTTCTTCTCGTACATTGCTGCTCTTCTCGGGGGTCCCCCACGCGCCAGGAGTGCAAGGCCGTTTTTCCAGGGCAGCGAAGTCAACCTTTTGGTGTGGACCTTCAATAAAGTTCTACACCACGTGCTGAGGAACACGGCCCGCACTGTTCTCTGTCATTCAAAATGGGTTGGCGAGAGATTTTTGTTTCGGCGAACCACGCTCATGGTGGATAATCAAGCAGAGTGAAATTGGCAAGCAGGCGCAGCGTACGCAGGCCAGTTTCACCGCGAAGCGGGAGGACCACTCCAGCACTGGATGTGTCGTCTCCCATTGTAAACGTGACAGTGTTAGCCCTTATGCATGATCATCTCTATCGCTGCTCCCATCTGATTGATACCTATACGACCACCCTTCGGGTGATAAGGAGGTTCGGGGGGGGAGGAACCAACGTCTCATTCGATCGGTCTCACTATCGATCTCACTATCGGTCTCGCTCTATCGATCTCACTCGATCGATCTCACAAGCGATCTCACTCGATCTATTTCATTCGATCGATCTCACAATCGATCTGACTATCGATATCACAATCGATCTCGCTATCGATCTGATTATCGATCTCACAATCGTTCTCACATTCGGTCTCACTATCAATCTCACTATCGATATCACAATCGATCTCACAATCAACGTCGTCATCATCATCATCATCATCATCAACATCATCGTCATCAACATCATCAACATCATCATCATCATCAGCATCATCATCGGAACACCATCATCATCATCACCTCACCATCATCATCAACATCGTCATCATCACCATCAGCATCATCGGAACAGCATCATCGTCACAATCATCATCAACATCATCATCATCGGGACACCATCATCATCACCATCATCATCATTAGCAACATCGGAACACCATCATCATCGTCATCATCATCATCACCATCTCATCATTACCATCGAGAACAACATCATCAACATCATCAACATCATCACCAACATTGAGACACCATCATCATCACTAGCAGCATCAACATCATCATCATCAACATCATCATCATCATCATCATCGGGACACCATCATCATCGTCACCATCATCACCACCACCATCATCATCATCATCGGGATACCATCATCATCATTAACATCAGCATCATCATCATTGGGACACCATCATCATCACCATCATCACCCCATCATCATCCTCATCATCAGCATCATCATCATCGGGACACCATCATCGTCATCATCATCAACATCATCATCATCGGGACACCATCATCATCACCATCAGCATCATCAACAGCATCATCATCAACCTCATCATCACCATCATCGTCGGGCCACCATCATCAACATCTTCATCATCATCATCAGCATCATCATCATCTCATCATCATCAACATCATCATGATCATTAACATCGTCATCACCATCATCATCATCATCGTCATCATCATCATCGGGACAGAAAAAATCATCATCAGCAACATCAGCATCATCAACACCATCATCATCGGGACACCATCATCATCACCACCATGGCCATCATCACCATCATCATCATCATCATCATCAACCTCGTCAACATCATCATCATCATCATCATCATCATCATCATCATCATCATCATCATCATCATCATCATCATCGGGACACCATCATCATCACCACCATCACCATCATCATCACCATCAGCAACATCATCGACATCATCATCATCATCATGATCATGATCATCATCATCATCATCATCATCATCATCATCATCATCATCATTGGGACACCGACGGGACACCGGCGGGATACCGGCGGGACACCGCGCCCCACCGGCCCCCGGAAAGTAAACATTTGGTTTTGCTGCGCCTCAGCTGGAGGCGGGACACTGGCGGGACACCGCGCCCCACCGGCCCCCAGGAAGGAAACATTTGGTCCGGCCGCGCCTCAGCCGGAGGAGACTTTCTTCTCGCCCGCCCACGCAGCTTCGCCTCGCCCGCACGCACGGCACGCATGAGCACGAAACCGAAACCGATTTCCCGGTAGGGGGGCTCTCCGTTCCACTTCGATCTCACCCCCTCACCTCCGATCCTAGCTTGCATCTCCTCCCTAGTACTGGCGCGACGGCGCTGATACTACGGACTTCGGTAGCGTATTGCGGACGATGCCCAGATGCACGAAGCATCATTCCACATCTGCTGCTGAAATACATTGGTTCTTGCCTTCTGAGCTAAACAGAACAATGCTAAGATGATCAAAATTCATCCCCAAGGACCGATGCGAGCAGGCAGGATTGACAGGTGAGGGACGCAAAAAGCGGGGTCGTCTGCGCGGACATTGTCGCGTACGCTGCCCGCGTAAGGTCGAGCGCAAGTGCCCTCGCTTCCAGCGCAGCGTGCCGCGCGGGCGGCCCGCGTAAGCCACCGCGTACGGTCGCTGTGTCATCTCGCGTGAGACCGATTTTGACCGTCGCCCAGGTGAAGTCATGGGCCTCTCTTCCACCACCACCATGAGTTGGAGGGGGGAAGGAGGAGGGGGAGGAGGAGGAGGAGGAGGAGGAGGAGAGGAGGAGGAGGAGGAGAAGGGAGGAGGAGGAGGAGGAGGAGGAGGGAGGAGGGAGGGAGGAGGGGGGGAGGAGGAGAGGGGGAGGAGGAGACGGAGGAGGGGGGAGGAGGAGGAGGAGGAGGAGGAGGAGGAGGAGGAGGAGGAGGAGGAGGAGGAGGAGGAGGAGGGAGGAGGAGGAGGAGAGGAGGAGGAGGAGGGGGAGGAGAAGGAGGACGACGAGGAGCACGGGGAGGAGGAGGAGGGCAGGGTCGGGAGCCTTCAGGCGAGACGAGGCTCGGCCAGAGCGCCGGAGCTTGCAGGAGCCCTCGGACGGACCCGGGCTTGGGCGCAGGATCTGGCCGGAGCTTGCAGGATGCTGCAAGGCCTGGCTGGCCGGCCCGCGTCTGCACCGGGCCCGGGTCGGGAGGTCCCCGGAGAGGCGGAGAGGGGGGGCACCGCGAGAGCGGCTCGCGGCCAGAAGTGAGCAGAGCGTGTCCCTCTACAGGAGGGATCTTCAAAAAACGATGTCCTGGCTACGTTCGACCTTTTGGGGGGGCCTTGTTTAACCGCTTGTCATATCTTTCCTCCCAAATCCGCCTGTAGGAGGACGTGCCCGACCTGAGGCCAGAATACGTATTCCCGATTTCGCAGAACACGCCAGTCGTTGAAAGTAGGTGTTGCTAGATATCCAGTTCCCAAGCCAGTTTGGGCGCCTTCCTACCTCAATCATCGAGTGCGTTTCCCTCGTCCTTCCTCTTTTGGGGGGCCAGCGGAAAAGATACAATCTAACTCCGACGCCTCCAGGCGGTGGGCTTAATTTTTTGGGGTGTCTGCTTGGAGCTGTCTTGGAGGTTCCGGGGGGTCTGCAGGACAGAAGGCCGCCGACTTGTTATGGCTGGTCCGGGGGGGTCTGAGGTTTCTCGTCTGGAAGGGTGTTTGTTGGAAGAAACGGAAGAAAACATTTAGCTTTTTTCGACGAAGGAAACATTTTATCGAAGAAGGAAACTTTTTTTGGTTGCCCCCCTCCCTTTTATCGAAGAAGAAAACGGAAGAAACCTTAAACTTTTGGCGCTCCGCGCGGATTGCTTGGATCCGCGCTGGGCCCACTCTGCGGCGCCTCCGCCCCTGGCCGCGCTCCGCGCGCCAGGGAGGGGGATCGAGCGCAGATCCGAGGCATCCGCGCGGAGCGCCAAACGTTTCTGTTCATGGCGTCGTGTTTTCTTCTGCGGCATTCCGAAAGTCTGAGTATGCAAGGCGTTCCCGAGAGGGCCTCGCCTTGGAGAATCGAAGGCGACTTCGGAGCTCATCCTCGGCGGAAGGGTCGGCGCGGAGAGGCGGCGGGGAGGGGTCGAAGGGGGCGAGGGGGTAGCGACCCGCCGGGGCGGGCGGAAGCATTGGGAAGCAAGCGGCGGCCTCCCAAGAAATGGAGGGTTTCTCCGAAGGGCTTAGGCGACCCGTCCTCCGCCTCCTCCTCCTCTTCCTCTTCCTCATCCTCCTCCTCCTCGTCCTCCCCCTCCCCCTCCTCCTCCTCCTCCTCCTCCTCCTCCTCCTCCTCCTCCTCCTCCCCCTCCTCCTCCTCCTCCTCCTCCTCCTTCTCCTCCTCCTCTTCCTCCTCCTCCTCCTCCCCCTCCTCGGGTCGCCACGGCCCCGGGGGAAGCCGTGCAGAGATGGCCCAAGAGAGGACCACGCACCAGAGAGGACGTCGGGGCCGTCCATCTACAGGGGGAATATTCAAAAATAGTCACGAAATAGGCTTGGGACGATTTTTGTTTAGTAATTTTGAGGATGTGGGGGTATGTGTTTGAGTATTTCTTATTTATCGCCCAATATCCCCCTGTAGGGGGACACGCCCGACTTAAACCTACTCTTAGCCTGAACCACCAGAAAGAGCTTCGAGCACCGAGACAGTACCGACACTGGAGGGTTCTCACGTGTCGGGCCCGGCGAACCTTCTGCGGTCTGCACGACATGGTCTTAGAGCAGTTCTGGTTGAGACGGTCTTGTTTTAGCGCGTCGGATCTATGTTCTAAGAACTTGGCTTTTGTTATTAGAACGTCTTCGGGTTCTCAGAACATTCCGTGGTAGGCCTATAGGGTTGTTGGGACGGTCGGTCCTTGTTCAATAAAAGATGTGCAAGCATCGGTTTTCGCAGCCCGCCAGATGTCTAGGCCTCCCAGATGGGGTCTGGGTAGATGGGGTCGGAGGATCGCGCCGCGTCGCCGATGTATCTGCGATGCGGCTCGATGTGGAGCCCGATTTTCGCCACGATGCATCGTCGATACATCGGTGATGCATCGGCGATGCGGCGTGGTCCTCAGACCCCATCTACTCGGACCCCATCTAGGAGGCCTCTACAAGAAATGGCCAGGTTGTTTGGTTCAGCGCTTCGGAGCCCATTAAATGGGGTGCTCCGAAAATCGAAGAAAAACAAACGGCATAACATAAACGTTGAGCGATCCGCGTGGATTTCTTGGGTCTGCGTTGGGCGCCTCCTTCGGCGGCGCCTCCGGCGCCGCCCTTGGCTCGCTCCGCGCGCCAGGGAGGGGGGGCCGGCGCGGATTCAAGAAATCTGCTGCGTGGAGCACCAACAGTCTAAAACAAGGCCTTGCCTTCGAGGATCGAAGGAGTTTCTTCCGCGGCGGAAGGCGGCGGAAAGTCGGCGGAAGGCGGCGGACGTGGAACGGCTACTGCTCCGTCGGCGGAAGCCAGCAGAAGCTAGGCGGAAGCAAAAGTCGACCTCCCAAGAGATGACACGACTTTTGGGTTCAGGGTTTCCGGAGTCGGCCATATTCCCCAATCAGTGCTTGCATTGAAGGGGTCCTAGCGGAAGTTGAAAGATTTGACGAAAGTTTCTTGCCGATTTTGGTAGCAGGCTGGGTTCCCGGGTTGCCGTTATTGGTTCAGGGCCGATTTCGGGGGGTTCTGTGTTCCCGGGCTCCCTGGTTCCCGGTCGATCTCTTCAGGCAAGACCATCCATTGATTGTTTTTGTTTTGTGTAATGTTGACATATATATATATATATATATATTAGATTTACAGCCAAACGTTGAACTGAGGAACAGTTTGGGTTCGGAAGGGGCTCGATGTTCCTCAGGTCCTTCTTTGGCTTCTCCTCTAGCCCTGTAATTTAACCTGGGACCCCCCCCTCGTACCCCCCCCCCGAGGGACGATACTCGACTGGACAGTGACGTTTCTTTTGTATTGTCGTTCCTCTTTCTCTCGGGACTGGCGACGACGACGACGACGAAGACGACTGAGTTCCTGGGCCTCAGGGAGGTACAGGGTCCGAATACATGTCGGAGCCAATGGGGCCGAGATGTAGACATACCACATACCCGTTGCCTTAAGTCGGGCATGTCCCTGTGCAGTGGGAATGTTTCAATGAATACTCAAATATTATGGATACGAATTTCGACTAGTTTTGATGATTTCTGACCGTTTATGAGTACGTCTCATTTTTCTTCCAAGCTCCGCCTGTAGGAGGACATGCCCGACCTATCCGCTGCCCCCCGAAGTATTGGGAGCCGGGTGGCCAAGGCCGTGATGGTCGGTAGAGTCCCGCAGCCCCAAAGATCCGACGCTCCAAAAAAATTGGAGCGGCGGAATTTTGGCCGTCTGCGGCCTCTGGGGGCCCTCGCTGAGCCTCGGGAGCGACAAAGAACGACTCAGGACGAAAAACCGGTCCTGGCGAAGTGGTCCAGACCGCCAAGGCCCACGCGTCGAAAAAAATGGAGCAGCCGGATGTCTGGGGCCGAATTTGGCCGGAGGGCTCGGGAGGTGGGGGGGCCTGGGGCAGCAGCCGCAGGTGAGCCTCTACGACCTCTTCGTCCGCATCAGCAAAGGCGCGGCCCTGCGTCGCGGGCCCTGCGCCTGCCCGCGAGGGCGCCTCGGGTTCTGTGTGGCAGTGCCGGCGCCGTGCCAATCTCGGGCCGGACGAAGAGGGGGGATCCTCCTCCTCCTCCTCCTCCTCCTCCTCCTCCTCCTCCTCTCCTCCTCCTCTCCCTCCTCCTCCCCTCCTCCTCCTCTCCTCCCTCCTCCTCCCCCTCCTCGTCCTCCCGAGTCCTCTGGCGGTGGCCCCCGGCTGGGGGCCGCGGCAGGGGCCGAGCGGAGACGGTCGGGTCGTGCGAAAGGGGGGGATCGGGAAAGGGAGGGGTGCGAAATTTGCTGCATGCAGCTGGTCTCGGCCGCACCGAGGGCCCCTTCCTCGATGCGCAGCCGCCTCCGGCGCCGGGAGGCGCCGGATCGGCTGCGTGAGCTGATTCTCAAACCCCCCCCCCCTTTGCGATCCCCCCCTCTCGCCCGACCCGACAATCGTCCAGGCTCGGGTCTGAGGCCTGGGGTTCGACCCAGAACTTCTGTCGTCGGCGGCGAGGCAGAGGCAGTCCGCTCCGGCGTGTGGCTCGACGCAGAAGCACTAGATCACGGGGAGGGGTTGGTGATCGTTTTTGTGTATCATTTTGGTTGCCGATCGGCGCGGGCCCTCGCCCCCCCCCCTCCCCCAACTCATGGAGTAGATCTTGGCCGTTTTTGTTGGCGCCTGCTTCGAGCAGGTGGAGCCTCCCCCCATGGGACTGTCGCAAACAGTAGCTTACCAGCCTGGAACATATCCCTATCCCTATGCTGGGCACCTCCTCATCACGATGCCAATCTTAGGGATTTCCTTCTTTTTTGAGGGCGAGACCCTAAGATTGTCATCACCTTTTGGCGTGTCAATCTTAGGGATAGGGATACGTTCGAGGCTGGTAAGTAGCACTAAGCAGGGGTCTGGAGCCAGACCCCCCCCCCTCCCCCCCCTTCGGCCCAACGTCGAAACGCCGAATATGAAATCGCTCACTTGTGAGGCCAGATGGGCTCGGTTTGGGTGCTGCCGTGCATCGGGGCCGACCATCTGGACGCTTTCGCGGTGACCGGCCGATGGCCATAGGTCGGAGGTCAGCGGCATCGCAACGGGGTACGCACTAGCTAACGGGTATGTATAGGAAGTTGCCGGAAGTTGCAATTTTGGGGCCTCTTTCTAGCATTGCAGCGTTGCCCCCACTGGGGAGGGTTGGGTTCATGGGTCATTGGCCAAAGTGCCCGTTGGTGGAGTCTCCGTTAGAAGAGGGGCGTTGAAGAGGAGGAAGATGTGATGGGGGTGCGTGCACATGAATGATGTAAACTAGCGGGCCCTGTCGTGGACCCCAACCCTCTCGGTGCGTGGGCGCGTGGATAATCGCGCTTCGCCCCTCGGGGGTCTGTGCTCCGTCGTGCTTGCACTGTTTTGGGAAATTGCACTGCGGTGCCGAACAGCTTCTCTGTAGCTGCTCCGTTTTGGCTGAGTGATTTCTCTTCGACCTGCGGCCTCGAGCTGCATGCGGCCCGGATACCTTCCGCAGATCCTCAGTGGCCCGATAGCCGCGGGGCTTCTCGCGCTGGGCTCGCGGAGGCAGCCCTGCCCCGCGCCCCCGGAGCCGCCGAGCTGCCCCGAGACGTGCGCGGAGGCGCCGGCCTGCGTGTGCCCAGAGGCGCCGGCGTGCGTGTGCCCGGAGCCTGCGGCCTGCCCGCCGACGGAGCGGAGGAGGTGCTGATCATCGGCGTGGCCACCTGGGCGGTGCAGACGGGCGTCGGTGGGGTCGCGAGCGTGGGGCGCAGGCTCCTCGGTCGCGGCAGAAGCCATGGCGCTCGTTGGGCTCGACGCGGAGGCGGAGTTCTTGAGGCGCCTCTTGCCAGGTAGGCACTACCTGGCTTGGTACGATGCGGACGATGTCTACCACGAGCGGGTGGCTTTGCGGCCGCAGACGCACGCCAGATGGGTCATCCTGACCCCGGACTTTGACATGTACTCGGAGATGCTGGACGGCAGCGAGGGCGTCGACGGCGTGGTGCGGATCATCGGCCTGCGCCCAGACGGGCGTCTCCCCCGGCTCGACAAGCCCGCCTGCAGGTTCAAGCAGGCGCTCGACCTGGACGCCTTGAAGGGGTACATCCGCGAGGGCCGGCGCCTTGCCTTGCAGGACGGTGCCGCGGCGGGTGACCCGCCGATCGAGGTTGCTGACGTGGTGATGCCCGATCGGGAGGTGGTGCCGCTGGACACCATGTTCGGCGGCCGCTTCCTGCCTCGCCGCCTCCCCTTGAGCCGCGGCGCAGCGGCGGCGGCGGCTGGGGCCGACGACGGGCCCCCTGGCGACGCGGCGGCGGGCTCCGTCGCTGGCGCGGCCCCTGCGCTGGCGGCTGCTGGCGACGGCGCCAGCCCAGTGTACCCCCGGCCGGGGCCGCTGGACACGCCGCGCGGCTACGCGTGGCTGCTCATGGAGGGCGGCCGCGCTGGCGATCTGGGCGACGAGGTGGTGCTGGGACCTGATGATTTCAGGCTCTCGGACTTCGACGCGATGATCCTCCGCCGGGGGCAGGGCCGCCGGGCCGAGCTCGTCCCCCTCACGGAGGTGGACGACTGCCAGCTGGGGCAGCTCCACTGCCCCCGCCCCTGGGGCTGCCGCCTGGGCCGTCGGCCGAGGCGCCCGAGGGTGCGGACGCCGCCGGTGGCACAGCCACGCCGCCCCCCGTGGCAGAGGACGCGCGCACGCTGTGGATCGACTACGACGAGCAGGGCGAGAGGTACAAGTCATACCGCAAGGCGGTGCAGGAGAGCTTCCACGTGCCGGACCAGCATTGGCCCCTCGAGGGCCCGTCGACGTACTTGCAGGTGATGAAGCACATCGAGAGGACTGGAGGCGACCCGCGATTGTGGCTGCAGCTGTGGGCTCGCGCAAAGCAGGTAGACGTGAACGATCGAGTGATGCACGAGCTGAACTGCCTGGTGGACATGATGTTCTACGCCTCCACCTTCGACCAGGTGAATGCTCCCGCGCTGGCCAGCTTCGAAGTGCTGGCGCGGCGGTTCCAGACCATCCTGGATGCGTGCAGGATCCCAGGGCGAGCTCCGAACTGGCAGATGGGTCGGTTCTACAGTGGACTGACGGCGACGGTGAATGCCATCGCGCCCGAGCTGCGGCAGTACGGCGCGAAGCGGGCGAAGGAGGACATCGACCTGGAGACGGGGGCCCAGCGGGTTCGCGGCCTTCCTGGAGGTGGCGGCGGCGCCGGCGGCGAGGACGCGTTCGAGGGCGCGACCGGCGAGGGGCCGAAGGGCCGTGGACGGGGGCGCGGTGACGGCGGTCGCGGGCGTGGCAGGGGCGCACTGCCCAAGGCCGGGAACCCCGCGGCCGCCGAGAAATCATGAGCGAGGAGATCGCCGAGGGGAATGGGCCCCGCCTCGGCGCGCAGCTGACTTGGCCCGGTGCTGGGCGCCTTCCAGCCTCTCGCGGAGAACGCCATCTGTTCCCATTGCCGCGGCTGGAGGAGCCACATGAAGCACGTGGAGGCGGTCGTCTTAGCCGCGGGCTGCGAGGTCGCTATCTACACGCACGACTGGTCAACAGGGCGTTCGACGCCCTGAATTGGTTGACGAGGGCGGCCGGCTCGCCTGCAGCCGGCAGCGGCGGCGGCACGGACATCCACAGCGAAGTGACTGCGCGCATCGATGGACTGGTACGAGCCCAGGAGCCGGTGCCTGACGCGCCTTCGCCGAAAGCGGCCTATCTAGAGCTGCTCCGAGGTCGCGGGTCCTACGAGGAGCCGGGCCAGCCGAACATAATTAGCTCCCTTCCAGCTCGGGCTCGTGTCACTGCCGGAGAGCACCCAGGACGCCCCGCGCCTGGAGCGGCTTCTCGACGCAGAGGGCCTACGTTTTCTGGAGGGTCGTGGAGAGCGGATGCTGCGAAGTGTCCCAGACTTTGAACGCCTCCGACAGGGCGATCCAGCGCGGCCTCATCTGGACCCAGCGTTCACAAGGAGCAGGCGACTACTGGTTCGTTTCATGAAGAGGCTGCATTCCAGTGGCATGCTACGATATACGTCGGAGCCCGTTGAATTTGTCGGTGCCTTTTTCGTCTGGAAGAAGGGAAGACAGAAGATGCGGATGATTACAGATGCGCGCCCTACCAACCAGCGGCTACTACCTCCACCTCGAGTGGATCTGCTGACGGCGGAGGGCCTCTCGCGCCTCGAGGTCGCCGTGGACGGCGACCCGTGCTTGCTGAAGGACTCGAGCTGGGGCGTCCTGCGGGCGCTCCGCCTGTGCCTCGGCGTCGGCGACGTGGAGAACTGCTTTCGCAGGATGGTGATGCCGCCCTGGACGAGCCCCCTCTTCGCCTTCCCGGCCCTGACAGTTAGCGAGCTCCGCCTAGACTCAGTGGAGATGGTGGAAGGCCGCGTGGCAAGCGGCGATGATCTGGTGCACCCTTGCTGCCGAGCCCTGCCTATGGGATGCTCGTGGTCGTTGTATTTTTGCCAGAGCGCCAACGCGAACCTGGCGAGGCAGCGCGACCTGCTGCGGGAGGCTCGGCTTGCGACCGACCGCGGCGAGCCCATGGTGTTCAGAGTGGGCGGGGCTCGCGAGCAGGACCTCTGGCACTACGTGTACGTGGACAACCTGGGCGTGCTCGGGCAGGACGCGAGCCCAGTCAAGAGGGCGCTGGACGAGAAGGTGGCGGCCTTCAACAAGATGAAGCTCGACATCCACGAGGTGGAGTTCTTCGAGAGGAAGGGGTCGGCTCTCGGCGTCGTCGTGGACTGCGAGCGCCACTGCACCTCCATCACCAGCAAGCGGCGCTGCCGCCTGGAGAGGGCTTTGGCCTACGCGCTGCAGCGAGGCAAACTCTCGGGCCAGGACTTGGAGCGCCTCCTGGGGCACTGCACCTGCGCCGGCCTGGCGAGGCGAGAGGTGCTCAGCGTCTTCTCCGCCTGCTACGCCTTCGTGCAGGCCAACTACGGGGAGCGGCAGGTGATGTGGCCGTCCGTCCGC